CAAGAAGATTTATTTTCCTGCTCTTTATTAAAAACTGATAATTTAATTTGCCTGTATTAATGTAGACATAAAGATGGATGAACAGAATGTACAACGGCCAGACGAATGTATGGAGAACAACCGTTAGGCCGCTCGTAAAGTAAATTAGGAAAGTGGAACTGGTGAAGGAGGAATCTTTTGTCCCCACACTTAAATGCCTTTCACTTCAGGTAAGATTTCTCAATTTTATTCTCATGAGCAAGTAAAAACCCGAACATCGATATTTTTATGGTTCTTAAATAAATTCAACCTTTGAGAGCTAAAATCAAATTGCCTACAACGTAAAAGACAAGAAGTAGTTTTACTACTGAAACACGCACAGTTTAATCTCATTATGAAAATAGTGTTTAGAGATTAAAGAATAGAATAGATTTTTGGAATCTATATTTCTTATCATCAATTTAATGTAGATGCGTAGAGACTTACTGGTAAGCATTTTGGTGACAGCCGGCGCTATGTTGATGTCCGTGAGGCATTCGTAACTTGCAGAATGGAACAATCGTAACACAGCGCTAATGTGCAAAGAAATCCAAACTCCAAGGCCGCCGGAGCTCGCCATGCAAGAAACCGTCAAAGACGTATCTTCGCTGACCGCGAACGAGTGTTCTATGTCCAGCACCTGAGTGTTTAAGATTTTCACGGAGTTGTGGCAGCCGCACCAAATTTTTCCGGATACTGGTAGCATCTTTGTAACCGGTGTAGCTACGGTGCCTACTGATACCGTTGTTGAAACCGGTGTATTCCAACCACCCACTGTAATGACACATTAGATATTATGATAAGTATGGTAGTATGTATACATATAAAGGATGTTAGGGTATCCGAAAATTCAGGCAGCTGAGCCTCTTCTCGGCTTGGAAACTGATTATTCCGAAATTTGATAGCATATACGCAGTTCGAATAAAGCCGGTGGAAGAGCTTCAGTGAGGTTGTAAAATTTTCTATCAGAAAACACTTATTGGAGTTTAGCTACCGAAACGATAATTTCAGGTAGGTAAAAAAGGTCAGTAAAATGTGCTCGACCGAACTCGACAAAAATTCCCAAACCGAGCCTGACCCAAATTTTCGGGTACCCGCATGCTTGTAAAGAATATGTTAAAGTGATATTATGAATGTACCAAAGATTCATGACTGAAATTTTAAGACCTACGCGACTATAATATGTACGTGTAATTATAATATAACGTTCTTCGCGTAAAGACTTGTTCAAATTGTTACATAATTGAATATAAATATATGTATTAAGGAATGTTTATTTTTTTTTATTAAAATTAATTACAGTAAATAAACTTGTGACTTACTGTGATCTCGTGTATATACAGCAATGTCTCCATTAGCGAGTGACACAAATACTTTGTTATCCAAATATCTGAAATTTTAGTAGAAAATCAGATAAGTCTAAATGGAAGAAAAGTAATTTATAATTTTGATATATAAAATAACAAATATCAAAAATATATTAGCCAAGTAATCGATTAAATTATTGAAGTAATTAATTGAACAAAAATTCTTACATAATGCAATGAACACTGCTGTTATGCTGTATCTTTATTTTGTTCTTTTTCGTCCTGATGTTATCGTTACAATTGTAAACGTGTATGCATCCGTCTTCAGTCCCCAGCCACATGGTTGCTTGATTAACGTCTTCTTCTGTCGTAACGTTGTCAATACTTGGAACATCGCCGCCCAAAGTCAGGCTACCCGTATCCGCGCATGGAATGTCGTCTGAGTCCGATTCATCGGAGCTCGAGCTACTACAGAACAACTTTCTTAGATTAAATAATAATGAAACGCATCGGACGGCAATGAAAAAAAATACTAAGCCCGAAGTCCTCTAAAAGCAGTTCTGTTAGAGCAGTTTACGGAATCAAAGCTTCAGGACAAAAAATTACTTTGTAGGAAAAGCATACTATTCAAAAAGCACTTTAATTTTTATATCAAAACTACATATCTCTAGAATGCGAATATATGTATTGTGCTTTACGGTAGATGGATTCACAGAATGATGTGATATCGAGCACGAGACAGTCGACTTAACAAAAAATCAATCAATAATAATAATTGTTAATATATAAAGTCATGAGTGATCTGAGTGATGTCAAAAGTACGGATTCTGATTAGAACTTCTAACTTTAATGTACGGAGTTAAGTAATTTTGATTGTAGCTTGCAGTATGAGTTGAGTCCTCATTATGTGTATATACAACACTATTTTATTCTGATTCTGTCTTTCAAGGGCATTACCTATCTAACTGTATGTTCCTGCCACTGGCATCGACATCCTGGACCGAGATGCTTATGCCGCTCTTACTGTTCGCGAATGAAACGTTGTTAGTCACGCACGAATTCGATCTAAAATATAATACAAATGAAGTAAGGTCCTTGTCTACCGTCCTACACTATTCCCATACGAAAGATATTATTTAAAGATCACGTTCTCTCCAAGGACCTCAAAAATTTTAATTTGGAAACTTTTACTTTTTTTAATTAATCTGATATACAACATAGATTATTTTTGTCTCAAAATATGATACCCTTATCTTGTAACATATCACATCTATAACATTTTCCAAGAAATTCCATAAATTAATTATACCCGAAAGCTCTAAGCGATAGAAGGCTGACTAATAAAAGTCCCAACGTAACACGGTCGATCTTTGCCATTAGAGGATAAAAAATCTCACCTTTGCGTACACGCTGGAATTCCTGCGACGCATAGAATCCTTGCGTTGCAGACTCCGTTACAAGACGTCACCTGCGGTGGTTCCGGAGTGAGGCTCAGCACGCACACTTGACCAACGTAACCGTCGCTATTACACACCCATACGTCCCTGGAACCTTGTCCGTTCGTTAAAGTAGGAGCCGCGCAGGTGAACTGCAAACCGGCCCGAGTCTTCCGAACTGGCAGAGGTCCCGCAAACTCTGGGCAGGGCCTCCTATCAGCGGACAATGCTGTAAGTAAAGATTACATTGGTCAGACTGCGAAACGCACTTTCGAGTAGATAATAGCGAAGTTTGCTCGTGTTTGCAGAATTATTTTTCTATAGACTAACATAATATTATTTTTTAATTTATAGGCTCAATGTTGACATAATTTTACTGTGCAATTTCTTTGAGTTGAATGAAGAAATGAGTGTTGCAATATTTAAATGCTGAAATTAATGTTTACCTAAAATACGTTTTTTAAACTAATACCATAAATGTATTTTCCATAAAAATTCGCATCTACCGATCAACAATAAATTCTATACGTTACTCTGATCTATTCGTAACTTGCCTAACTTTTGTTTGGCTTCGTTGAGACTTTCCTCCCAGTTGGCTCTTTCATCCGGCTTTGCGAACATCACAGAAATGTTTTCGATTCCGGTCCTGAAAAACATGATGATACTATACAAACTTTTGTCAGTCACGTTGCTTTGTTGTTAAATGCGATTGAATAACGGAGACGCAACGTTCCGCGTCGTCACATGTGCACGTGGACCAGAAACGTGAATCGTACAAAGCGCAAAAACATGCTCATTGTGAGATCGAAGGGCTTTGTGAACAAATAATGGATTGGGAATGCTGGCGCTCAATAGATTGTCACTATGCAGGTTCGCATGAGACATTCCTCGGGAATCCGATTCATTTGTAAGAATTCGATAGCGGATTTACGCACGTGAACTCTGAACGAAGTACAAAACAATAGAACAACGAAACGCGGCATTTGTGTTGTAGTTACATGACTTTTCTAATATTTGTCGGTAAATTTTTTTATTAAAACATTGACATTTAAATAATAAAGAATGATTGGACTATGTAACTTCTAATTAACCATTAGGTACTAAAATGCATGAACTAATGTTGAATATGATAAAAATTTGACACGTTACTTACTGAGTGTTGAGCGTTAATTCTAGACAAGCCAACTGGGAATGCGCCGCGTTTCTTTCAGCTAATTGACGTTGCGCTTGTCCCAGCATATCCTTAATAAGATCCTCCAGCTGTTGCTTTGCGCCATGTAACGTTGCCGCGAGTTCTTGAAGCTGTGTCAACGTTGCGCAGTCTTCACGAAGATGATCCACTTCACGGGCCATTCGCCTTAAATTTTCGTCTTTGGCTATTGAAATTACAATCGATTTTTCTATCATACGATAATACAGTTTTTCATTTTCATTGTTTCGAGGTGTATGAAGAAATAATATTAATTCTAAACTGAATAAATTATTTTTTAGCACCTTTCATAACTTCTACGTCATCCAATGGAATTCTCATTATCATTTTGTATTTATTCGCTTCCAATAGGCCAACCAGACTATTTGGGCAGGAACTTCTGATGGAAAGCAAACACAAACGCATGAAATATTAAATCTCCCCAGGATTGCTCTTTCCATTAGTAAATGCATAATTATTCTAAATTATGATGTTTGCACTTAAGAACGAATTAATAGGTATATAAAAAAAAAATATGCCAAGAGTCACGTTTAAATAAAATAATCAGCAATATATTAGAATATTAAAGTGTTATTATCTACTCACGTGGACGGTTTTCTAATAGTTCCACTTCTTCTTTTAATCCGGGTGATAACAAGTAGATCGGAGAATAAAAATAGCGCCCGTTCCTTTCTGGTTCCTTGATTCGAGGCTATCGTTACCAAATCGTGGCGCACGAACGCTCTGCGAGCAAAAATAGTAGATACTCAATTCAGATGAATCTTTTTGTTTTCGTAGCAATTTCTACCGCGACACGCATCGGTATTGGTAATCGATACGGCAACGGCACGGCTGCGGCGTGCAAGCTTAAAGGTTGAATAGTTCATGAAACGAAGACGCGGGTGCAACGTTTCACGCGCGGCTATTCGCGATGAAGGCTCTATTGTGCGTTCAACTTCTTTCTCACCCCTTTTCTCCCATATTTTCTAGTCAGTTTTATAAAAATACTAGGTTATAAAAAGTGTACAATATA